CTCTTTAACAAGATAGTGTAAACTATATCAATTTCATAGTCTTTGAAATGCTTCATGCCGTACCATGTCTACTTTTACCGCGAACATAATTCCGTTTCCCATAATCTTGTGGTGATTGGCTGCTATTGACATATGGTAAGTACATCTGTACTTGAATACTTCCACTGAGGGCTTCTTTAAGGTTTGTGGGTAAGCCCTTATGACTTTCAGCAAGTATCTACATATCCTTATACTTTCACTAAGGGCTTCATAATGACTTGTAGTCAGCCTGTTATATTTTTTACAAATATAATGATTATTTTGAAGAGAGTTTTAAAGACTTGTGGCCAGTCCAGGACATATTACAGACATTTTCTGTGCTCAGATCCTCAGTAACTCACTTAATATTTCAAAAGAAGTGTAAATATTATAAGAAAAAGTCTTGCTTACAACAGCCTAGAGCAGCATCTTAGATCTTGAAGTTGTAGACTTTGAAAGAAAGGTGGATTAGAATCGTCTTCAGAATTCATTCAATTTGATGTTGAGGGTATTGTAGAGGGGGTTATATGGTGATCTCCTTGAGAGACTGTGGAAGACTTACACAGACCATTGAATTGGCTGGTGTGCAGCTGTAATGTATACAATCATGGTTACATTACAGCATATGTTTCTCTTCTTTCCGTATGTGTGAGACATGCTCTCTCTCTTTCTCCCTAACCATCTGGCAGTCTCGAAGTCTGGTATGCCTGATGTGTTCTAAAGCAGTCTTCATTATTCTTCAGAAATATGTACCCACATACACAGTATATAGAAGTGTTAACCCAAATTGGAACTTGTGTACATTCTTGTCAATAGAATATTTGACATGTATTGCAAAGAATGTACTGTAGATGGGATGCAGATATGGCTATGATAGCTGCAAAGTATAATGTATACATAATAACTACGAGGTAATCCCTCCCCCTCCCCCCTCCTAACACTTGGTCTTGTACACTTCATCTCAACTTGGAAAAAATTGAAAGGCACTTTGTCTATGATGATGTATGTGTACAGTGTGCCTTGGGAATGAGATATTTTATATTTATGCGGTTACAGAATGGAAACTTGACAGACAGCAAGGAACATTGGGAACTCAGGAAATGCACAGCTCTCAATGGAAAGCTGGTGTAATAAGGAAATGAGACGAAAAACAGCATATTATGTTTACTTTCCTTTTCCTTCTTCTTCCTACCTATTTCTTCCCTCTTCCTTTCCTTCTCTTCAAATATTTCATCTGCAGTCTTAGCAATACAGGTTGATATTTGAAGGAAAGTACAAAAACAAGTAGAATAAGACATTCCCCCTTCTTTCCCCCTCTCTCAAATGAATAAAGAAAATGTTAAACATATGTTAATCAAATCCATAAATCACTGCTTATGTGAAATCAGTCACTTTATACTTGAAGTTGAAAGTTTTAGAAATTCCTTCGTGGGAAAATAAATCTAGGAACAATGTAAAAGATTTAGTGAGATAAATTTTTGTAGCTGATAATGTTAAGACTGGGATGGTTGACTTACAACATCAGCTGTTGTCAGTGACAGTGTTAAAGTTTACCAGGAAATTATCAGGGGCAAGCATCACCTAGGCTTTTTTAGTACATTCTCGTATCATATAGGAATTATACAAGGCTTTGGGTACATTATATCAAGCACACATAGATAGCTTCTCCTCTGTAGGACTGGTCGACAGTTGTAACATAAATCAATGTCTGTGGATCAGTAGTTCAAATGCCTTCTTAAAAATGTGTAGATTTGAAAAATAATTTAACAACATTGGCTTGACTATGTTAACTTGATCAGAGTGATGATGGGTAAAGGCTGTCCATACAACACCAGAAGGATCACAGAATATGTCGCTGATAAGGACATGATTATAGGCAGGGAGGAAAAAAGTCTGGAGATGGTTTGATTTGTATGAGAATGGAAGGGGAAAGAATAAAGATAAGAGGCTGCATCAATCTCTTATTTCTAGTATCCTATAGTTCTTACAGACTTGTACGATTATGTGACTTCAAAGGCAGGCTTTACGCAATCTTTCTTACTTAGTTATAGGCTTTTAATATCTTGTGAACCTTTGAAATTTCCATACAACTTTTATGGCTACAGTTTTGAATTGCCTTGTAAAATCATTTTAAATGTTAGAAGAAATAAAATAAAAGCTACCGTTTTTAATATTTATGTGAAAATAGCTGAATAATGTTTGAGGCATTCATCACTTGTCATTTTAATCAGGGCATGACAAAATACGTAAAACAGAGAGTACATGAACAGTGATGAATGAAGATGTCTATTTTCCATGCCTGGGTGGTCATGTGAAATTACCATGATTAGGATCATAGGTTACTAAATATAGTGTTAGACTTTTCCATACAGGAAATAAAATATTAGCAATTTGTGTCAAGCACTCTGATTTGAACTCCCGTCCCCTCCCCACACACTGGAAATAAAATAATAGCAATACATTGTCAAACGCTCAGATTTGATCAACCTCCCTTCCCCTCCCCTGCTGCTAAAACAGATTTAATTAGGGCCCCGCATCGCGATGCGGGTGCCCTATAGTAATCACCTTGTCCGTCTGTCCGTCTGTCTGTCCATCTGTCTGTCCATATATCTGTCTGTCCATTTTCATTGGATTTTGATGTTTGCTTTCCTTGACACCTGTCCATATATTTCTTAATAAGGAATGATGAGATTTCGATGAAACTTGCTTATGATACTTGTTTAATATAGTCCCTCAGGTATGACAGTTCGATGTTTGGCCAAATTCCGTGCATATTTAATGAATTAGCTGTGCAATCTGATTGGCTGAATGTTTTACATGTTGTACTAGCAATATGTGTTTCGCTTTTACCGCGCGATATCTTGTAAGGAAACATTGCCGGCCTGTGTAGTAATGGGAAAAATTGCTTATGATAAAGTTGCCTGCCTTGGTTGTAATCGGTAAAATTTCCTGCTCAGGTTGATGTTTGCCAAATTCCGCCCATATTTAATGAGGCTGCTGCAATCTGATTGGCTGAAAAATTTACATGTAATGTCGGTTTCGCTTTCCTGCGCGGTATCTTTAGAAGGAATGATGGGATTTCGATGAAACATGCTTATGATACTTGGTACATAAGTCGCTTGCTCAAGTTGGTTGTTGTCCAAATTCCTCGGATATTTAATGAAGCTGCTGCAATCTGATTGGCTGAATGTTTTACATGTCTGTCGGTTTTGCTTTCCACGCGATATCTTGAGAAGGAATGATGGGATTTCGATGAAACTTGCTTATGATACTTGGTACATAAGTCCCTCGCTCAAGTTCGATGTTTGCCAAATTCCGCTTGATATTTAATGAGGCTGCTGCAATCTGATTGGCTGAATGTTTTACAGATCATATGTTGGCTGAAGGAATGTTTGGGATTTCTTTAAAACTTGCTTGTGATACTGTTGTACATCAATGTTGGCCTGATCAGATAATGTTGGCCCTGTCCTGTCTGTTGGCCTGATCAGTTTTGGCCTGTCCGTCGATCCATATATCTGTCCATCTGTCCATTTTCATTGGATTTTGATGAAAGTTGCTTTCAATACTTGACACCTGTCCATATATTTCTTAATATTAAGAAACTCAATCATAAGGGGTAGGTATTATGCGGGGCCCTTCCTCGACATTGGTCTAGTTATTTATTGTTTTGAGATCTTGATGCAGATTTGTTTAATATAGCTATCTCAGGTATGACAGACTTGTTAAAGGTGGTTTAAAGGCACCAGCAGGCATCAACCAACCAGTCATTTAATGAATTAGTGTAGGAAAATTAGGTCAAGAATAAGTTAGAATTACCTGTTGTACTAGCAATATGTGTTAATTGTCTGGTTAGAATTACCTGCCTAGGTTGTAATTGGTAAACATTGCCGGCCTATGTAATAATGGGAAAAATTGCCTACCTTGCTTAAAGTTGCCTGCCTTGGTTGTAATCGGTAAAATTTCCTGCCCAGGTTGTAATTGTCTGGTAAAAATTTCCTGCCCAGGTTGTAATTGTTTGGTTGAAATTGCCCGTCAAGGTTGTAATTGTCTGGTTAAAATTGCCCGCCAAGGATGTAATTGTCTGGTAAAAATTGCCTGCGTTGGTTGTAATTGGTAAAAATTGCCTGCCCAGGTTGTAATTGTTTGGATGAAATTGCCCGTCAAGGTTGTAATTGTTTGGATGAAATTGCCCGTCAAGGTTGTAATTATCTGGTTAAAATTGCTTGTCTTGATTTTATTGTTTTGGATAATGTTGGCCTGATCAGATAATGTTGGCCTGATCAGATGGCCTGATCAGATAATGTTGGCCTGATCAGATAATGTTGGCCTGATCAATGTTGGCCTGATCAGATAATGTTGGCCTGATCAGATAATGTTGGCCTGATCAATGTTGGCCTGATCAGATAATGTTGGCCTGATCAATGTTGGCCTGATCAGATAATGTTGGCCTGATCAATGTTGGCCTGATCAGATAATGTTGGCCTGATCAATGTTGGCCTGATCAATGTTGGCCTGATCAGATAATGTTGGCCTGATCAATGTTGGCCTGATCAGATAATGTTGGCCTGATCAATGTTGGCCTGATCAGATAATGTTGGCCTTATGTTACTTATTAGAGTCATAGTGACATTGTTTATTATTTTTCCATGATGTATTGATGATGCTTAAAACTTGTTGAATTGACATTGATATAGAAAACAACATTATGGCACACATCACTTACTGGTACATAGGGTTATTGTTATTTCTGAAAGATCAGGAACATAAACATCAGAAAAAAACCTTCCTGGTTTGATGAAATTTCACAGAATGAAATATGTATTGATGAAATATTTTTGTGATTTTTAACCTGTGTTAAAGCCTGCAGATGTCAAACATTAGAGACAGGTACTTAATTCACTCATACCCTACACACATGAAGTGTACAACACCCATTCATCGACTGTTGGTTGGCATGCATGTGTACATGCAGTAGTACTTACCTTGGAGCTGTGGGTACGGAGGCTGCCTCCCTCGACTGGCTACCCCTCACAGGGTGATGATCACAGTGTGATGGGGATACCATGCTCCAGACCATCTGGCACTCCAGTCCATTGGCACCTCCTGCTAATAGCTTGCTAAGTAGCACCTAACAAGCATTTCGCTTAGGCTGCTCACGTTTCTGAATTAGCCTTTTACAATAGGAGACTGGTGTTTTGATTTCGACTTTCACAGAAGAAAACCTATGTTTTTAATTTTGATATTTATACAACCTCAAGGAGAGGTGTGTTTTATAATTTTGGTTTAGACAGCTGGTATTCGAGGAGGAATTTTTTTCTTGGCTTTCTGAGTCACTGTGGTGTTTGAGAATGGGACGCAGTCTCGATTGACTAGGCAGAGATAATTGACTAATAATCCTTCTGTACGAGTCAGCTGATTGGTGTATGGAGTGGCTTCCCAGCATTCCTGGTTTCTCTGATGTTTAGTTTCTCAACTTTTTCCTCAAGGAGTTTTCCTGATGAAGATGAACATGTTTCAAGTCCTTCGTAATGTCTTGTTGTGTTAATCTTGAAGAATCTACAAGTAAATGTACACAAAATTCAAACAAAACATATTCAAAATTTCTGTGATCTTATGTGAAGTCTTTCATAGCTTCAAAAATCTAACGAAGTCCAATTTGATGTGTGTTTAGAGTTTGATGTATAGAATTTCTGAATCATGAAGAGGAAGTGATGAGAAATTATTTAAACTTGATTCCAATTTAGTCTTGTGGAATCATCACAGGAGGAGATCATACTTCATAGTCACAGAATCACTGAGGCAGGAGCTCACATATTCCACATCACCAAGCTTGGAGCTTGTACAACCAAATCATTTCATGAAATCACAAAGCTTGGAGCTTGTACATTTAATCTTTTGTGGAATCACCAGGCTAGGAGCTTGTACATTTGATCTTTTGTGGAATCATCAGGCTAGGGGCTTGTACAGCCATTCTTTTGTTAAATTGCCAAACTTGGAGCTTGTGCTTCCAAACTGTTGTAGAGTCATCAAGCTTGGATCTTGCACTGACAAACTGTTTTGTGTTCAATGAGTTAGTACGATGTTTGGTTCTTAACAAAATTAGTGTGGATATATCAGCATCATTATTAGTATTCATTGGAACAGCTCATTGTAGCTGAAGGACAGGCTGTTATGATTGGTAATATACAGATAACTAGATAGTTTACAGCCAGCTGGTGGACCAGGATGTTATCCTGCTGGACAAGGGTGTATGTATATGATGGGAGATTATAAATAATTATGTAACCAGGATATATGTTGGGGTAACTCGGAGTCAGAAATGGTTTCCATCAAGGAAAAGATCATACAGAAATACAAGGCTTTCATTGGCTCCACTAAGAAAGGTAAACATATGGGTACTGATTTACAGTATCAGTGATAAGTAGTGGAGACAGATAGTCCCATTAAGTTGTATTGTTCTACTGTGTTGTTGTATGTACTGTCTGCTGTACATACTGGCTTGGTTTTTCTGGTGAATTCACTTCATTACCTAATTTTATCTTAATCTGTATGATAATTATGTTTAAATGTATTACACAGTCAGATCATCTTGTAACATGTCTTAATATTTCAGAACATTCAATGTATCTTAAAGCCAAACATTTTGTAAATCTTATTTTCTCTGATTATTTTTTTTCAAATATGTCTTACATTTAAATGATCTTGTAAAATGTCTTAAATATCTCTTACAATGTTGTAACAAATTTGTCTTACAGTTAGCTAATATTGTAAAGATAAAGACATTTTTATTTGGGAGATAGTTTTCTGAACAAGTTATGCAACATGTGGACTCAAATGTAGATTAATTATTTCTCAGTTCTAAATATAGATATATGTGTAGATAGCTGTGGAGAATGTTTACAAATTATTGGCTCATATCTGCACCAGTATAGCATAAAAATCACATTCTCAGGGTCCTCTCCCCATCTGCTTCCTATCCTCTTCAGAACATCATAAGTCATCATATCCTGTGGTGATTTCTTCTCCATTTTGTTAGTAACCATTCAATCATCCTTGGTCTTAGTCACAAGAAAAGAGATTATGACTGTGTGACTGTTGGAGGGATGAGGATAAGAAGGAGGAGGGGGAGGAAGAGGAGGAGGAGGGTAGCTACTACAGAAATAGGGTCAGGGGAAGGATCAGTGTAAACAGTATTAGACACAATACAATACACACATTCTCTGTTGTATCAGTAGCTGGTATCCTACTGGGATGTAGTGTCTAGTGATGCAATCATTTTCAGGCATAGGGACTGATGGTTAGGAATGTTAACAGTACATAGGGACTGATGGTTAGAAATGTTAACAGTACATAGGGACTAATGGTTAGAAATGTTAACAGTACATAGGACGAGTCCCTTGAAAGTTCTGTAGCTCATGTCACCACTAGTGACTCCAGTGTTCCCTATGCCTGATAATTCCTATTTTTATAATAATTCAGTTATTCTCTGGACTCATAAATGTTAGCATTGTCCACAGCCCCACTCTGGTGTTAAATATTTCCATTGTCAGATAACAGGTAAACACCCTACTAAACTGTTTTGTAGTGCATATAACTTCAAATTGGGTAATAAATTTGTCATAATGGGCAAAAACTTGACTAGTTTCAAAGGGCTGGCAACATTTTAGTCCAAACTTTGCATCGCATTGAAATAACTCAACGTGAAATCCTGATGTACAAACAAACAGCCAGTTTGGTATGTAAAACTTGTTATTGTCAAAGATCTGATAAGTCCCATGAATGTGTTGTCACATCATACAGATGGAAGAGCTTGCTTATTTCATTGTAACTAAAACTTTCAGAATTTTGTAAAGTGGATCAGATTGTACATTATCAGCTCAACATTAATGTGAAAGCTTTTTAGAACGTACTATTCATCATCAGCGTAGCTGTCAATGCATTTCATAAATTTCGGAAAAAGAAAGAAAAAAAATCAAATCCACTTTCACAAATTTGATTAATCGCGATTGTGATGACATGTTTTGTAGAGGGTGTCAAACAATTTGGTATTCCAGACTTTTTGCTGGTTTGGTGCTTTGGGCTGAGATCCAGGTTCTGCAATGTTGTCGATTTTGGCTTGCCTGTGTACATTAGGTTTTGCTATAAAATTGATGTTTATTCTAAGGTAGTGTAAAATTAACCAATCTATGTAATAGGTACCCACATCTACTTAATGCACAAATTGATAATGAATTGTTATATAACTTTCCACAAGAATATATCTGTTAACATATTTATTCTGGAGTAAGCCCCTGAGACTAACAACCTAGTCAGATGGTGGGCTTATTACAGGACATTGTAGTGGTGTAGGATGATAATTCTACAGAACAGTGATATAGATAGGTGGGCTTACTACAGGACATTGGAGTGGTGTAGGATGATAATTCTACAGAGCAGTAATATAGATAGGTGGGCTTATTACAGGACATTTGAGTGGTGTATGGATTTATTGCATGCAGCCTTTTAGTTTAGTTGGTACCTTGCTACGTAAGGGTTATATGTCCTTTAGGTTGAAATTATATATTTGCTGCCAATATTGTCGAGGACAGATAGCCTTGATAAATGGCAGATATATTACTGTCACTACCCACTTCTGTACATGACTTGCACAAATTATAACATTTTTTTTTTATTCTTCTCTAGCCTTATTACATAATATTTCCTTTCACAATTCACCTGAACGATTGACATAATTGGTTCATACTGAAATACTATAGCTACCTCATGTGTAACCTACTCTAGCTCCGTGTTTAGGGCAGTTTTTAAGGTTTCCCATGCTGATAAGAATCTACAACATATACTATCATAGATGCGTTTGTTGGACTTTTTACTTTCCTAGATCTAACTGATACCAGTGATGAGTAAAGATAAGGTTACAATGTGAAGGCCTCCCCACACATAGCTACCCTGTCCAATTCCTACATTCATCTCTCAAAGATACACTCAAAACTTATGATTTAATTAAAATTTACCATTTTGGTAAGAGAATACCAGCCAAGGGTAGGTCTAGAGATGTTTGTCTGGTTTATTAATTTACATAAATACTTGCATACCTCCAGGTAGGTAATGAGAGCAGGCCAGGTCGACTGTGGATTATACTTAAAACAGCCATTAACATACAGCTGCACTGCTATACTATACAGAATGTATACATGTTGCAGTTTCTACCTAATTTACACTGATGTACATTCCATTTGGTAAATGTGTTGTCTAAATATGTTCTTAGATTGCACATTCATTAGTCAAAATAGTGGTAATTAATGTGCAATATTTATATCAAACTTACAGTAATGGCCAAGGACTTGGAGATGAAGGTTTTGTTTAAGTCATTAACGACAACTTGAGGTTTTACTCAAAGTGCATTACTTAAGATTATAGCTCTAAATGAAACAAATACCTTACTCTACCTAAAAAATACAATGTACCTTACAAAAACATCATAGCAAATAACTTACTCTACCTAAAAAATACAATGTACCTTACAAAAACATCATAGCAAATACCTTACTCTACCTAAAAAGTACAATGTACCTTACAAAAACATCATAGCAAATACCATACTCTACCTAAAAAATACAATGTACCTTACAAAAACATCATAGCAAATACCATACTCTACCTAAAAAATACAATGTACCTTACAAAAACATCATAGTAAATACCTTACTCTACCTAAAAAATACAATGTACCTTACAAAAACATCATAGCAAATACCATACTCTACCTAAAAAATACAATGTACCTTACAAAAACATCATAGCAAATACCTTACTCTACCTAAAAAATACAATGTACCTTACAAAAACGTAAGAGAGTTTATTTGTAAATTATTAAATGGATGGGGTTTTACATTGATTGTAGAAGCAACAAGAAAAAATGTAGTATATGTTGATCAGTGAAGTTAGTAACATTCACCTTATACAAGTTGCAACATTCCCATCCTCTTTCCTTGGAAGAAAAGGAAGGGGGTATGCTTATTAGGAGAGGTTGGCTCATTAGGTCAAATACAGCCTTATTTTTGTGTCAATTTATTGTTGCATTAATCTGGTGAAAATAGTGAATGAACTAGATTTTGAGTGTGTGCAAAAAAAGTATATTTTTTTGTACCGTGAAAACCTCAAAAGACAAATTGTCTGATCATTATTTGGGACTCTAACAGCAATGTTATCATTATCTGGGACTGCAACAGCAATGTTATCATTATCTGGGACTGCAACAGCAATGTTATCATTATCTGGGACTCCAACAGCAATGTTATCATTATCTGGGACTCCAACAGTAATGTTATCATTATCTAGGACTCCAACAGTTATGTTATCATTATCTGGGACTCCAACAGTAATGTTATCATTATCTGGGACTCCAACAGTAATGTTATCATTATCTGGGACTCCAACAGTTATGTTATCATTATCTGGGACTCCAACAGTAATGTTATCATTATCTGGGACTCCAACAGCAATGTTATCATTATCTGGGACTCCAACAGCAATGTTATCATTATCTGGAACTCCAACAGCAATGTTATCATTATCTGGGACTCCAACAGTAATGTTATCATTATCTGGGACTCCAACAGTAATGTTATCATTATCTGGGACTCCAACAGTTATGTTATCATTATCTGGGACTCCCAACAGCAATGTTATCATTATCTGGGACTCCAACAGTAATGTTATCATTATCTGGGACTCCAACAGCAATGTTATCATTATCTGGGACTCCAACAGTTATGTTATCATTATCTGGGACTCCAACAGTTATGTTATCATTATCTGGGACTCCCAACAGTAATGTTATCATTATCTGGGACTCCAACAGCAATGTTATCATTATCTGGGACTCCAACAGCAATGTTATCATTATCTGGGACTCCAACAGCAATGTTATCATTATCTGGGACTCCAACAGTTATGTTATCATTATCTGGGACTCCAACAGTAATGTTATCATTATCTGGGACTCCAACAGTTATGTTATCATTATCTGGGACTCCAACAGCAATGTTATCATTATCTGGGACTCCAACAGTAATGTTATCATTATCTGGGACTCCAACAGTTATGTTATCATTATCTGGGACTCCAACAGCAATGTTATCATTATCTGGGACTCCAACAGTAATGTTATCATTATCTGGGACTCCAACAGTTATGTTATCATTATCTGGGACTCCAACAGTTATGTTATCATTATCTGGGACTCCAACAGCAATGTTATCATTATCTGGGACTCCAACAGCAATGTTATCATTATCTGGGACTCCAATAGCAATGTTATCATTATCTGGGACTCCCAACAGCAATGTTATCATTATCTGGGACTCCCAACAGCAATGTTATCATTATCTGGGACTCCAACAGTTATGTTATCATTATCTGGGACTCCAACAGCAATGTTATCATTATCTCGGACTCCAACAGATATGTTATCATTATCTGGGACTCCCAACAGTAATGTTCTCATTATCTAGGTCTCCAACAGCAATGTTATCATTATCTGGGACTCCAACAGTTATGTTATCATTATCTGGGACTCCAACAGCAATGTTATCATTATCTGGGACTCCAACAGCAATGTTATCATTATCTGGGACTCCAACAGTTATGTTATCATTATCTGGGACTCCAACAGTAATGTTTTTGTTCTGATGTGTATATAAAGGCAGGGAAGGGGAAAGGAAACCTATTTGATGAAACACAGGTGTGAGCTATTTCCTCTTCTCCCCTCCCTCCCATTCCTACAGAGAGGCAGAATTTTGAGGCAACTTTGTAATGTGGCATATTAATCATTTGTAAATGTGTAAACCAACCAGGTGATTAATTTTATATAATTAGTCACAGCATGCTTAGAATTACTGAAACTGGAGTCCTTGGCTACACTGCAGTCTTGGGGAGTTTGTGTGTTTTTCAGCTGTATATTTATATGTTTTGTCAAATGTGTAATTGAAAAAATCTGGTTTAAATGGAAGGGTTAAACACGAGATAACAAGATGTCCTAGATAAAAATGTGTTACTGGGATCTCCGACATTTATATGACATTATGCTTTGAAATGTTTATATAATGAGAAGTATTCCTGTGTACATTGTGATATACACAAGTACCTTCACCTTGCAGTTGTGAAGAATGTTTGCCGTCTGTGCCGCCTCACTATTGATGGCCCTGCAAAGTCTGTTTCTAATTAGAGCTGAACAGACGGCACTCATTTGTTGTTGCTCTAAGTTTTGGTAACACTAAGATGAAAACTGAATAACCCTGGTTTTGTCTTTGCAGCACCAAGTCGGGGAGGCACTGATGATGAGCTCGACTTTGGCCGACCGTCCTCCTACCGTAGTGGCCAGACCAAGCGCAGTACTAGTTCGTCCTCCGTACCCAGAGGTAAGGGGAGATAACTATTGTAGTAAACATTGATGTATCGAGTGCTTTTATCTCAGCGTAAGGAAAAAATAAGGACTAAAATCAAACATTTGCTTTTCTCATGAAATCTCACTAAGGAAATCATAATTTGTTACTGTCTATTGTTTGTGATATTGAGTATTTGGAATCAATTTAAGATGAGATATACTACAGAAAATAATATCACAATAAACACACAGGTCTTCATTATTGATATTGCAAATAACTTGATTGGCTTGATAATTAGTGATATAACACTGAACTTCATTCACCTGATTACAAATACGATATCACAATAAGGTTTAGGTTCTGTTTCAGACTTAAATCACAATTCAAATAAGAACAAATTTCAAAATGTTATTGCATCATTGACTCATGTTTGCTAACTTTCACAAATTTTTTGATTTCTGAAGCTCCAAGCCGAGGGCCATCTGATTGTGATGATAATGAATTTGCTCGGCCTCTATCCACTAAAGTCCCACAGGCCAAGAAGACGAGCAGCAGTGGCCTTGCCTCAGGGAGAAAGACACCCAGTGCCTCAGGTATCTACTAAACCTCCGGGGAGGGATTGTACTCTATCAACATTGCTTGACATATACATTTTGTTAAAACAATTCATGATTCAGGTGTCACATGATTTATAAAACAGCAGATTATCAAACATCAGAAATTTTGCCTCACTTCAGGTATACTGTAATTTTAGCCGTAAGACATTTTTGGTGCAAATCAGAAAAGAAATCTTTTGGAGGAAAAATATTCTGATCGAGTATTTGTAATAGTTACCTCCCTTCAAAAATCAGGGACAAATTTGATAATTTTATCAATTAGACTAATTCTCTTGTGTAAATTAGCAATTTCTATAATATTTAGCTGAACTGTCTTTCTAGAATTCCATGTCGTGGACAATTATTTTGAAGTTGTCAAATAATTACAGTTTGGGTGTCATTATTTTGAGAGACTTATAGTCCAGCCTTGTTATTGCCCTGTCCATCATGGGGAAGTTTCTGTTAAATTTGAACAATGTTGGTTGATACAAAGGTTTCCAAGGCTTAAATACATAAATTCAGCACTGAAAAGTCGTGCTGAAGTTAATTTACTTGTGAAATCTTCTTCAAATGAATAATTTATAAATCCTGAATAAACAGATTTAGGTACCAGTCGTTCTTATCCTCAATAAATATACCTGTCACTTTACACAGGTGGTGCAAACTTATTAACATATTTCACTATTTTCACTTAATGTTATCATGATTAACCGATGTGAAAACATTTTCACCTCATTGCAAAAGTACACTACTATAACTTTAAATCAATGCACTTTTTATACTTAATTACTAAATTCATTAATTGTTCCATTTTTTGTAGTAAATTACATTGTAGCATCATCAATTATCATATTTGATTTCTTTTCCTTTTAATATTGGAGTCCAGAAAAGTTCAATCAAATGTTTCCAGTAATTTGTGGTATCATTTCTGTGTAAAATCCTCTAGTTTCCATGGTTAACCCATTTTTGGGGTTACGGGATGTGGGGTAAAGGTCACAATTAGTCCTTGACCCTTACATTAACCTCCTCTCGTCTTTCTCTTACTAACTTGGACAGCCGTCACCCTGAGACGTCGTCGATCCATATCTAGCACAGGTAACAAACTGCTTTACTTCCCCTTCTTGTGTCTTTTGTCTGGTAAGATTTATAGAAGGTTTTGTTGTACGTTTAATTTGAAGTCTTTGAATCAATTCTCTCCCTTTGATTTGTGATAATATTGCATGTGGGTTATAAATAGATATACATATTCCAGGTATCACTAAATTATTCTTGAAAAAGTAGTCTTATTTAAAAAAAATATTTCATCACATCCTGGCCAACACTCTCAAAACAGACCACTTATTAGAGATCTAGGAAGATTGCAGAGTTTTTGGAGTCAGAGTATGTTTAATATAAAAAAAAATTGAAAACAATCTTTAAAAAAAAGTCTAACTGCTCTAGTGTTTCCAGCCAGGATTTTAACTATACATTTTTGGAAGAAAATTAGAAAAATTATGAAATATAAGGAGATCCAGGTATAAATGTGTGTAATGCCTAATGACATGAAATACTGCGTTTGTATTTGTTTTATAACAACCAAATGTTATTGTTCATTTTTTCTTTTTTCTTTCTCGTTTGGAAAGTTTTACCGTTTAGTGTAAACACTGGAGTTACTGTTACCCTATGTACCCCAAATGTACAATGATTGGTAGTGATGTAGATTTTAGTGATTACTGGAGATGTATCACCTCCAAACAGCCGATACCCTCACTCAGAACTTACTCACCAATACCTGTACACTATACCTCTGTAGTCACAACACACAGCATCATTGTTCTCTCACATCATCACCTGCCCTTCCCTTACATGTGCAATGGTATATGTCCTGCCTTTGATGTGGTGAAATCTAATTAGTACCCCGAGGGGTCATGTCTTTCAGTAAGCCACCTCACATCCCTATCAGCTGTAGATGTCTTCTATTTAACTTTCTTTATGGAAGAGTCTATATTCAACCCTGAGGGGTTTATCCTTCTGGTTAACTTCATTTTTAAAAAAACATTATACCTGAAAATTTCTTTCTTTCTTTCACTGTTTTTAAAAGCAGTAGCTTGAATTCAGTGATTAATATTGTCATTTTGTGTGTAAAATGTCCCCAGGATTGTAACTTTGTGTGGTTGTATTTATAACGTTGTGGATTTCTGACAAGTATTAATACTTACTAGTTTTAGGCGGACCTTTTTTACCTGAAGCAATTCTCAAAGATGTATAACTTATACTAAGTATGGTGTATTGTAATGATTAACGGATGTTATGTATCACTGGTCACTAATGGTGAGTTTTGTGGTCAGTAGTGTGTCATTGACCACTAACAGTTGTATGTGTGGATTTTTGTTGTTCGGATAAAAAAATCATTAATGATGTCGCATCAATTTGTGCCCGTCCATAGAGCACTTCGTTATTGGTTTGGTAAGTACTGGTAACCAAAGTTTTGTGTGTAATTCATTTTTAATGAAGTTTATATACTCCCGCGATTAAATTGGGGTGTATACTAGAATCGCCTTGCCCATCTAATGTAGATGAACATTGTCCGTCAATGCATTTGCTAAGTTTACAAAGTGCCAGTACAATATGGAGATGTGCCCCTTAAAGTGACTTTGCTTTTTTTCTCTTCTGTTTTCAGAGAGTTATCCCCCTTTTACATTAAAATTAACAATTTTGTCCAGCCATACATTTTGAGAAACAGCTGTTTTCCGAGTATCCAATTGACTTGAAATTTGGTTCCATCTTTGTTGAACAGTACTGTTTAACATGGATTAATGAATTAATGGCGTTTTCCTTTATTTTTCCCAGAATTTTGGTTGCCCTAATAACTGGCAACTAAAATACTACCAATGGTCATTACTTGTTGTAATTCAACAAAGATTGACTATGGTCAAATGGCATAACTAATTAAAACCTGTAGTAGTACATATTAGGTGTTTCAGTTACTACGGCAACCAAATCCTGGCCTCTGATTGATTTTCATCTGTTTTTTACTTTTTTCATAGAGTCCTGATCAAATTTGGTATATATAGAAGTCTTTGCATCTGGGAGGGGTATTAGTAATCCTCATGTTGACAATTCTACTTTGTTTTTTTGTACGTCAGTTGTATTTTGTTTGATGTTTCTGACTTTTTCGTCAGTTCAGGAATGCCTGTTAGTACATTTTTAAAAATTGTGTATGTATATAATTTATTAGAATCTCTGTGGACATTGTCAGAATGTAGTCTATTCTTGTTTCTCAACCTTCCAATATCACATTGTAATCTAAAATACTCAAATTATAGAAAATATAACAAATCTATACTACACAAATTAAAATTGATTTCAAATTATTGATGTATTAGCATTATTAGTTAAATATTTTTAACAGATTTTAAGCATTAACTATTACATACCAGTTATAACCAATTTTTAAAAATAAGTTTCTTCTCAACTTTTATATTCACAGCCCATTAAAAATTTTGTATTTGCTGATGATCATTATACAATTCAAGTTTAAATAAAAAAGATTTTATAAAGAAATATTGACAAGATAATTGATAGAAATATTTCTAATTTTCAGTAGAAACCTCTTATCACTACAGATGGAGTTTAAAAGATCACAGTTTGCTGTGTATGTCAATGTAATGTGACTTTCTTTACCGGTTTGACTTTTCCTGTTTAAGGATCATCAGGAGCAGGCAGTGTGGATGAGGATTATTTCATGAAGTCCTTTGAAGATGTAGCCAAAGTACAGGTGAGAAAGCCCATCAACTTTCTATATGTTTGTAATAGTAGTCTGCTGAGAGTACTGTTGTTTGGAGTTTTCTATTCATCCAAAACATTTTTGTCAGAAAATTTGCTTCTTTTTGTAGGTACATTTAACCTGTCGATATTTTAGTTATCATAAATATTTGTCTTCAAACTGATTTGTAGAAATTCAAATTGATGTGAATAAGATACGTCAGTAAACATCTGTTTATTTTACGATATCAAAGACTTCGTAATTGTCATGGCTAATGAAACAGTTGAGACCATCTTGGTGTCAGTTAGGATAGGGTTTTACTGTGAAAGTTTTGTAGAGCAATCAGCCTATACATTGTTCTGCAGTCTACTTTGATATATACATATTCTTTTGACAAACACAAGTATTCTGTTTTTTCAGTTGTTTTCCTCAAGAGATCTCCATGATCAGATGACAAAGATCCGAGATACGCTCTCCGATCCAAACACAGCCTGGGAAAAACGTCTTGATATGGTGAGTTATTTTTAGTCAATAGAATCATCTGTATTTCTAACATTGTCAAAACTCTAACATCTCAATCAGTTCATATAATAGATATTTGTTATTGCTATATATATTGAGAAATAAGCCCATGCTTGGTGATAAATCCTCCACATTTCTTGCTGTTCAGTGTCCTGTAATAAGCCCATGCTTGGTGATAAATCCTCCACATTTCTTGCTGTTCAGTGTCCTGTAATAAGCCCATGTTTGGTGATAAATCCTCCACATTTCTTGCTGTTCAGTGTCCTGTAATAAGCCCATGCTTGGTGATAAATCCTCCACATTTCTTGCTGTTCAGTGGCCTGTAATAAGCCCATGCTTGGTGATAAATCCTCCACATTTCTTGCTGTTCAGTGGCCTGTAATAAGCCCATGCTTGGTGATAAATCCTCCACATTTCTTGCTGTTCAGTGTCCTGTAATAAGCCCATGCTTGGTGATAAATCCTCCACATTTCTTGCTGTTCAGTGTCCTGTAATAAGCCCATTGTTGACTTTGTGTTGACTCCTTAGGCTTATTGCAGTATATCAGAAATGTGTGTTACTTATAATCTATGACAGTGTTATGTAATATTCTGTGGGTCTTTTTTTGTTTTATAGATGAAGACGTTGCGAGGCGTCATGATTGCAGGAGGTGCTCAACATGACGATTTCCTTTCTCAACTGAGGACTTTAGAACCTTGTATGTCTATGGCGGTCAAGGACCTTCGTTCACAGATTGTGAGAGAGGCCTGTGTCACTCTAGCGTAAGTTTGGCTCATACCTGTCACTTCAGTAAATCAGGGAAGCTCACTTTCACGTCCTTGTTTGAAATTTATGACAACACAATAAATGGTTTGGTCATGAATTTATGGGCTGTAAGATAACAATTTCTTATCTCTTAATAGTCTCCCCAATATTTTTAATTTTCCTATTTATTCTTAAGATAATTTAATTCAATAAATGTGTATTTATAGTGTATTTCCATGTTGATACTTAGATACTTAGATACAATAGATGTGTATTTATAGTGTATTTCCATGTTGATACTTAGATACAATAGATGTGTATTTATAGTGTATTTCCAGATACAATACAATATGTGTATTTATAGTGTATTTCCATGTTGATACTTAGATGATGTGTATACTTAGATACAATAGATGTGTATTTATAGTGTATTTCCATGTTGATACTTAGATACAATATATTTATAGTGTATTTCCATGTTGATACATGTGTATTTATGTGTATTTATAGTGTATTTCCATGTTGATACTTAGATACTTAGATACAATAGATGTGTATTTATATTTCCTATTGTATTTCCATGTTGTATTTATAGTGTATTTCCTATTGATACTTAGATACTTAGATAGATGTGTATTTATAGTGTATTTCCATGTTGATACTTAGATACTTAGATACAATAGATGTGTATTTATAGTGTATTTCCATGTTGATACTTAGATACAATAGATGTGTATTTATAGTGTATTTCCATGTTGATACTTAGATACAATAGATGTGTATTTATAGTGTATTTCCATGTTGATATAGATACAATAGATGTGTATTTATAGTGTATTTCCTATTGATACTTAGATACAATAGATGTGTATTTATAGTGTATTTCCATGTTGATACTTAGATACAATAGATGTGTATTTATAGTGTATTTCCTATTGATACTTAGATACTTAGATACAATAGATGTGTATTTATAGTGTATTTCCTATTGATACTTAGATACTTAGATACAATAGATGTGTATTAATAGTGTATTTCCTATTGATACTTAGATACATTTATAGTGTATTTCCATGTTGATACTTAGATACAATAGATGTGTATTTATAGTGTATTTCCTATTGATACTTAGATACAATAGATGTGTATTTATAGTGTATTTCCTATTGATACTTAGATACAATAGATGTGTATTTATAGTGTATTTCCTATTGATACTTAGAATTAGATACAATAGATGTGTATTTATAGTGTATTTCCTGTTGATACTTAGATACTTAGATACAATAGATGTGTATTTATAGTGTATTTCCATGTTGATACTTAGATAATTAGATACAATAGATGTGTATTTATAGTGTATTGATAATGCCGTAAATACATGCTTAGTTAAAAGCCAGTTCAGTGGAATTTGATTACAAAAATTTATCTTTCCTAGCCCTGGAATATATCCACTCCTTAACTTTCAGTTAGAATTTCTAGTTTGGTCGCTGGGCTTATTTTGGGTTAAATTTTGTGGTTTGATCATTATTTATTATGTATACATGTAGAGTAAATACATATTTATATCGTGATCATTCACTGCTATAGGAACATATACTTTGTTTATATATTGTGGGATTGTACCTTATTATACAAATTTCTCTCAAGGTACGTAGAGAATCACCTGTGTCTGCTAGCTGCTTTTGGAATGTATAGCTCTTCCCTACATTTTGGTTTTAAGTTTTTGAAATTTTGTTATGAAATGTACTAAAGGAGATTTTGTAATTTGTGTTGTAGATACCTGTCACAACAGCTTGGCAATAGATTTGATCACTTCACGGAGACGCAGCTGCCTAATCTCATAGCTCTCATCCCCAATAGTGCCAAGGTCATGGCGTCTTCAGGCATTATTTGTATCCGATTCATCATTCAGGTACACAGTGCTGCCAATACTTTCTTTGGTTAATGATATCAGCTCTTATTATCATAAGTTTTCAGTACAGAATTTATTTTCATATACTTCCCCTTCCCAAGGAAGTTTTTTCTCTGAAAGAAATGGTTTGATTTAAAGAATTTAGACATTATGGAGTCTGACTTCAATTTTCGTTAGATACACATTCAAAGAACAGTTGTGAAGACAATGGGCTGTCACAAAGTTATCATAATCTGATGTTGTTTGTAAATTTGGAAGTTATAGAAAAGATCAAGACATCTTTAAAAATCTATCAATAGTAATTGTACTGAAAGAGAAACATCCATACACATTAAACTGTAGAATGTTTACCTGAAGTTTCAGTTCACAAATCTGGATGTTTCTCATACTTTTATATGGCTGATACAGTATCAGGTAACATTGAAGTAACTTTGGGAAAGTTAGAAAAATCAGGATTAGAATTGATGTTGTCAGAAAAGAAAATCATGGAGGTATTTTATTAAGCACAATATTTATGATTATGTTGAATAACCCAGACTTTCTTCTCTCTTACAGTACACACATTCTTATAGGCTGATACCAATTATCACAGGGAACCTAACCTCCAAGTCTAATGTCATCCGCAGGTAAGTGGTCATGTGACTTTTTACCTGTAAGATTTGTCTTACTAAATCTGTTACCTGGGTATTATCCACAGGTAAGTGGTCATGTGACTTTTTACCTGTAAGATTTGTCTTACTAAATCTGTTACCTTGGTATTATCCACAGGTAAGTGGTCATGTGACTTTTTACCTGTATTACTACACATCTGTTACCTGGGTATTATCTTCAGGTAAGTGGATATGTGACCTTTAACCTGTAAGATTTGTCTTACTAAATCTGTTACCTAGGTATTATCCACAGGAAAGTGGACATGTTACCTTGTTACCTGTAAGATTTGTCTTAATAGGTCTGTTACCTGGGTATTATCTTCAGGTAAGTGGGCATGTGACCTTTTACCTGTAAGATTTGTCTTACTACCTCTTTTACTTGGGTATTATCTTCAGGTAAGTGGGCATGTGACCTTTTACCTGTAAGATTTGTCTTCCTAAATCTGTTACCTGGGTATTATCCGCAAGTAAGTGGTCATGTGACTTTTTACCTGTAAGATTTGTCTTGCTACATCTGTTACCTTGGTATTATCTGCAGGTAAGTGGTCATGTGACTTTTTACCTGTAAGATTTATCTTACTACATCTGTTACCTGGGTATTATCTTCAGGTAAGTGGATATGTGACCTTTTACCTGTAAGATTTGTCTTACTACCTTTTTTACCTGGGTATTATCTTCAGGTAAGTGGACATGTGACCTTTTACCTGTAAGATTTGTCTTACTACCTCTTTTACCTGGGTATTATCCACAGGTAAGTGGACGTGTGACCTTTTACCTGTAAGATTTGTCTTACTACCTCTTTTACCTGGGTATTATCCACAGGTAAGTGGACGTGTGACCTTTTACCTGTAAGATTTGTCTTACTACCTCTTTTACCTGGGTATTATCCACAGGTAAGTGGACATGTGACCTTTTACCTGTAAGATTTGTCTTACTACCTCTTTTACCTGGGTATTATCCACAGGTAAGTGGACATGTGACCTTTTACCTGTAAGATTTGTCTTACTACCTCTTTTACCTGGGTATTATCCACAGGTAAGTGGACATGTGACCTTTTACCTGTAAGATTTGTCTTACTACCTCTTTTACCTGGGTATTATCCACAGATAGATCAGCTCTTGATCTTGTTATCATTGATATTTTTCCATTGATACAGCTTTTGAAAATTAAATGAATAAAAGAATAAAATGTTTTCTTTAAAAATGACTTATTATTGCTTGAGTAAGTATCTGTTTTATCTGCCCTTTGATTTAGGAAACTCCTGTTAGTGGTGTGCTTTAAGAAAATCTGTATGTATTTTATAGGTTTTGTTGTGAGATTCTGAACCAGGTGCTGCATCACTGGCCAACACACGTCCTAGAGAAACACATAGCCAACCTACAGGATGCAATCAAACGGGGAATCAGTGATCCAGACAGTGACGCCAGGGCCTTTTCTCGCAAGTATGTATACCATGTTCACGGGCGTCAGATGATGGTCTCATTAGATCCCAAAACCAGAGATAGCTCCCATCTCTGTAGGACGAGTAATTTAATTCTGGCATGATATATCATTACAAGTGAAAGAATCTTGTATATACGACAAACATTTGGAAATAAAAATTGACACATCGTGATGTATCCAATTTTCTTTGAATAATAAAAGCATCATATCTGTAGACTATTCATCATACATGCATGACCTGATATTGATTGCTTGAGTCAACTTAAGTTTTCTCTTTCCTCCTCAGGGCTTTTTGGGGATTTGCGGAACATTTTAAGGATCAGGCTGATGCCCTTCTCAATGCCTTGGAGCCTGCCAAACAGAAGATGCTTCAAGGAGAACTGAGTGGTTCATCAAGTAATAACTCCTTAAACAGTGCAGAGGGGCTACGTATAAAATCTCGGCCACGATCAGCAAGTCAGGATCGTGGATTTGACTCCAGTACACTTGGGTAAGCAACAGACATATCTGGCCTATTGAAGTCCTGTCATATTACCCAGAAAACAATTCTCTTCACTCTTCAATCATAACAGCATATGGAGTTTTCATTATAATTAATTTTGTCTACGTACTAGCCTGAACTTCGCTAAATACAATTAAGTATGGACACAACATGTATCACATGACTAAATCACTTTCAGATATAGTCACATGACTCTCATAAGCAAAATGGCTGCCAATATAAAGATATTGATTGCCGATATGGGAATTTCCCGGAGTCTATTCTCTGATAGCTTGTCCAAAGTCATTTCTTGATTGACATTTGCTGAATAATGTATTGGATTAGTGTAGTCATTTATTCTGATATTGAAGAAAAAATGTCGGCTTTCTGTCCCAAAAACACCAATTGATTTCTCTAACTAAAATAGTTTGTTGGCTTATTACTGGACATTGATGTATCATATTTGTTGGCATTTCATCTGAGGCTGTTGGGATTGTTACCAAGCATGGGCATACCATAATCAGTATGTCTATACCCAGTACTTTCTTTATTAGATTGTTGAAAAATCACTGGAAAATTTTCTTTCAGTCAGAATTCCAAAATTATAAATTGTAAATGAATTCTTTTGTAGACGGATAGGAAAGAAAAAGCATTCCAGAGTCAGTTCAGCGCGTAGTGACACAGGAGCAGGTAAATACTATCTGACCATCCCCAGGCTAGTTCACAATATCACACGCTCACACATCTACAAAATCTACAAATACTTCTCTTCAGTCTCTGATCTTCACTAAGATTCATTTTGCTAATTGTTGGTGTCTTTGTTTGCACAGTAAATCACTTTTCCTGTCTTTTTAATTTCACTGTATTCTTTTAATTTCAAGCTTGAAATATTAATTTATAAGTAAATTTTCAATTAATTTACAATGATTGCGAAGGTTATGGTTAATTTTCTTTCCTAACCAACTGAAATATTGTTTATTTGCTATATATACCTGTTTTTTGTTGCCAATATTGTGACCCCCCTCGTGACCCTGTGACCCTGCCCTTGTTCATTCGTAATTTTTCTTTGTTCTGTGTTCCTCCCCCATACTTTATTTGAAACCGTTAAATCCCTGTTCATTGGTTTTCTTTCTTCATTTATTTTTCATTTATTTTTCTCTTTTTTTTATTTTGTGAAAAAATTTGAGCATGATTTAACTAACAGCATCAAGATTACTGTAAATGTGCTTTATTTTGTATGCTGGATTTCTAATGTGTATTATCAGTTGGCTGTGGCAGCACAAAAGTCTTCTGAAAGATTGCATTGATCCAATGGGTCCCTGAAATCAGTCAGATGTTTTTCTTTCTGAAGATGTGATTTTAACATTCTTGAAAAAGATACCTGTGCCAAACTGAGAAAGATTTACAGTTTTAAAAATCAATTTAGAAAAAGAGTATTATTTCTGGCTGAAAAAGAGAATCTGCCTTTACGCTGTGTACACCACTTGCATGAGGTGAAAAACAATCACAGGCTTTCGCAAAATTTACAGAGTCCAAAATCTCCATCATGTTATTCATGCCAATATTAAACAGTGCTAATTGATCTTAAGCTATAATCAGGAATTGTATGGCTAAAATGTACACCAGACTTATTAACACAGGATGTGAATCTGCAGACATACACAACTGATACCACTTATTGTCATGATATTTAATACCACATTTCATTTTATATCACATTTTCCTCAACCACATGACCTTCACAGGAAATGTTCTTGTGATTCCCTGCTGTTTATTATGTAGAAATCAATAATGAAGAATTGAAAGGACACAAAATATTTATCTCTAATGTAATTTTTGTGTGATTGACAAATTGATTTGTTTTGTATAAATTATGTGTAGCTATACATCATAAAATGGTCATGAGTGAATTGCTGCTCAATTTACTTTTGGTTCCTGGATGGAGTGGTGGCATGTTTGAATCATTAACACAATTTATATATCATGTAAGGTTCTTGATGTTAGATACTAGATGGTGTGGGGATATGATATTCAAATTACATTGTAGTTTAAGTTTACCAAAGCATGACATTTAGAATTTAAAGTTGTTTGTTAGATAGTGGAAGAATTCATGGTTAAACAAGCAGTACTATTATAATCCTGAACAATATGAAGGGGTGACCAAGGTACAAAAATATTGGTTTTTACAAATATCAACTTACTAATTGGATTTGTGCATGATACAGATTTATGCCGATTTTATGGGGTTGCTTATTTTGTACATGAAATTTGTCTGTCAAGGTTATATATCCAGTGGCAGACTACTATCACATACCTACATATTATACAGCGTGCACTGCTTGTGTGAGAGATTGGTAAGCAACTGCTGGGCAAATAACTAAACTTTTTAGCTTCTCTGAAAGTGGAACATAACAGGTTTTACTTTGGTGTTGGAACGTATGTATGATAAAATCACATATTAAACTCTATTGCCAGAGGAATATTAGGTGACTGTTTGGATGTGGTAGATATACCGGTCTTCAGAGAATTCTGAAACAAAACAACTCCAGGGTGATGGATTCAAACCTCTTGACTTACAAAGAAGCATGATTCTTTTAACTTGATTTCAAATGTGAAAATGCTGGTTTGCATATAGCAAATGGCTTGTTAGTTGAAAGAGTGATAACGATGAGTAGAATGATTGGTTTTGTTGGAATGCACAATTTTTTGCCAGCATGTTTTTTTTTTCTTTATACGATCACTTTTTCCTTTTCATTTCTCATATCACATCCAGACATGGATGTTGAAGGGGAACATGAACCAACTGTGGAAGGTAAGAGAAAGTGGTGGTTGGGTCACATGACCAGTCAGTAATGTGACTATCATGTGACCTGCATGTACTCACTGACCATGTAAACATCTCTACTACACTGTTGCTGCTGTGCTTATGTTTTAGCTGGTATAGAAGTTTGATGCTTTGTTTTATATTTTTCTTTAATCATCAACTCTGTTTGCTTTGAGTTTGCAGTTCTTATCTAAACTGTTCTGTACATAAAGCTGTTTCAACTGTTTAAAGGGAGATAACTCAACTTACCATAGCATAGAGCAAAACCAATTTCAATATTTTATTTCTTTTTGTTTGGAAACAAATCTTGTTGAAACAGTTTACTATATACTGATTGCATACTACTATATATATCATATAAATATATATAAACGCTGTATGTATAAGTATATATGACCTATAGCGAGGTACTAACACTCTCTGTTAGTGTCTTTATTATTTTTGTCACTTCCTTGTTTTTCGTAACGTTTTACTTTTTTTTGTCTTGATTTTTACACGTTGCCTTTCCTCATTCTCCCTGTTCCTCCTTTGCCCAACAAGTAGTTGTTACTGCCCAACCCTTACACCTGTATCCCTGTCTCCCCATCCTTATCACACCCATCCCACCCACCCAGTATTCCAGTCTGCTTCTTCATCTGACACACTACTGTTCCAGCTGACCTTGATACTCCTATACGCAGTAGCAGTAAGTCATCCAATACACCCAAGGACAGAATCGTGAGGTCAAGCAGTGCAGTTGACCTGGCCAATGGACGCACAAGTCCAAGTCCGTATGGACGGACATCTCCAAGTCCATATGGGCGCACGAGTCCAGGCCCATATTCAATTGCAGCCACAAGTTCAGGATATTCAACGTACACACCGCGGCGTCGCACGCCAGCACAAGTTGCGGCTCTGTCACGGATGACAGCCGGTGCCACAACTTCACTTCGTAAGCCATGTTTTACCCTGTACACAAGTAGAATGCTTGACTACTAGTTTCTAGTACATTTGAAGGAGTGGTTCTATAGTCTGTGGTAAGGGTTACAGTCATTGGTAAGGAAAGGTTTGGTGGAAGGGTCGTTTCATTGCAGGAGGTTGTATATTTCATTGATTTGTTTTCAGACACACGAGATATAGGAAGAACAGCATTATGTAAGGTGAAACGAGATATAGGAAGAACAGCATTATGTAAGGTGAAACGAGATATAGGAAGAACAGCATTATGTAAGGTGAAACGAGATATAGGAAGAACAGCATTATGTAAGGTGAAAGTGTTGTAGATCAGTGGAAACAGTTAGGTATTAGGAAGATGTATCGTCAAGTTTGTCTGTGATAAAGGAATACAAACGAATGATGTACTGTGCCATGCTCCTGTTGTAGATCAGTAGGGACAGTTAGGTATTAGTATGATGTACTGTGCCATGCTCCTGTTGTAGATCAGTAGGAACAGTTAGGTGTCAGTATGATGTACTGTGCCATGCTCCTGTTGTAGATCAGTAGGGACAGTTAGGTGTTAGTATGATGTACTGTGCCATGCTCCTGTTGTAGATCAGTAGGGACAGTTAGGTGTTAGTATGGTGTACTGTGCCATGCTCCTGTTGTATGGTGTACTGTGCCATGCTCCTGTTGTAGATCAGGGGACAGTTAGGTGTTAGTATGGTGTACTGTGCCATGCTCCTGTTGTAGATCAGTAGGGACAGTTAGGTATTAGTATGGTGTACTGTGCCATGCTCCTGTTGTAGATCAGTAGGGACAGTTAGGTATTAGTATGGTGTACTGTGCCATGCTCCTGTTGTAGATCAGTAGGAACTGTTAGGTATTAGTATGGTGTACTGTGCCATGCTCCTGTTGTAGATCAGTAGGAACTGTTAGGTGTTAGTATGGTGTACTGTGCCATGCTCCTGTTGTAGATCAGTAGGAACTGTTAGGTGTTAGTATGGTGTACTGTGCCATGCTCCTGTTGTAGATCAGTAGGGACAGTTAGGTGTTAGTATGATGTACTGTGCCATGCTCCTGTTGTAGATCAGTAGGGACAGTTAGGTATTAGTATGGTGTACTGTGCCATGCTCCTGTTGTAGATCAGTAGGGACAGTTAGGTGTTCGTATGATGTACTGTGCCATGCTCCTGTTGTAGATCAGTAGGGACAGTTAGGTATTAGTATGATGTACTGTGCCATGCTCCTGTTGTAGATCAGTAGGGACAGTTAGGTGTTAGGATGATGTATATTCTAATTTGTGTGAGGGATCAGAAACATACAACATACTGCTCTACCTCCTCTTCAGTTTATATGGTAATGTTCATAGTTGATACTTTTGTGTATCTCATGTGTACCTATATTTACCATCACAGTATCAGTGTATGACATGTATATGTAGATATATACTCTATCTGATGTATACATAATTCCTGTAATACTTATTAATATATTAATTATTGTGATATATTTCTGTAAGATTTATAAGTACACTCTGTGATTCACCGTTTTGACTCACAGCCAGGTAATAAGACAAAATGAAATTGTATTAGAGATATAGAAGAAAGTTTCCGATTACTGTCCCCTTAAGGGGAGCTTGTTTTGTCTCTGTTAGGGATCACAAGGGTTCCTATATGCACAGGTAGCATTAATACCAGTTACAGGTACAATTAATAGCTTGGCACAATGGAATAGTGGAGAGATGACTCAAACAGGTATGCAGACACAATCTCCTATATATTTATGTATTGTATGTCGGCAGTGTCAGTTTTCGTATCATAACGGAAGTATTTTATACAGGGGAGATAAAGAGCAGAAGAGCTTGTGTTGATTTGACCATAGATATGTATCTACTGTAAATAAAACTGAATGAGAGATTTATAGAAATGAAATTTTCCATGGGTATAGTATTACACTGGACTAGGTACTAGTAGGAATATTTTACCGGGGAAATCTTGTAAACAGATGTTTGAATTACACTATAAAACTCAACATCCTTATAAGCCCCAGGGGTTGGTAGAAAAATTAGTTGCAACAAAATATGATTATTAAGACTTTTTACCATGAATAGTGAAGGAAGGGATATCTGTTATAGGTTTATGATCTACAAGGATATAGTTCTACAGTAAAATTATTTTTCCTTCTTAAATGTTGTTGAAGACTCCCTGAAGTTCTATCTCTGCTTCTTCACACAGACATATGTATTACACTGTCCAGTTAGAAAGGTCTTCAAGGAGATTTTTTCCTTGGGGCAATGACCAGTGATAGGGCATTTACTGGGACAGATTCGGTACATTTATAAATAGCCTGGAGTTTGTCAGACATCAGTTGGTAGCTGTTGTGTGAAGAGATCAGGTATATTCATTCATTGTATGCTTACCTGATGTAGATATTGCCGTTATCAATTACTGTACTCTGCGACTGGTTCAGCGGATTAGTAGCTTTTTACTGTGTCAATATTTGACAGGGACAAACATTGACACTTCATTTGTGATCAATTCAGGCTATTTGGTAGTCATGTGTGTAATTGTGTCAATTTTGATACTTTGGTGAGCATTCTGTAAAATCTGAAAATGAGAACTAAAACATCAAACCATCGAAGTTCTAGTTAAACATCAAACCATCGAAGTTCTAGTTAAACATCAAGGCATCAAGGATAAGGAAAATCACATCAAAAAATTAAAAGCAATATGAGGTATTAAGAATTTTCTTTGTCAGGTCGTATGATGTCAGAAGGATGGGACGGATATGAAATGGTTTTCCCTTGTAGGACACAGATACGATTATTGGGGAGGAAAGCTCTTTAATCACACAGATCCATGTAATCAGTTACAATGATTGGTTTTAATGGTTCTGTGTAGTTATTGGTCAATTTTCTTAACATTGGAACTCATATTGAATATTGGAGAACATGCAGCTAGGATATAAAATAGAGGTCAGACAGGGAGAATTTCTCTGTAGTAAATATGTTTTAAAGCAGGGTGGATTTATCTTTAATGATTGATCAAAAGAATAGGGGATTTATCGATCAGTGGCTAGTTCCAGAAGTAAAAACATTTGTGTTAAAGCTAGCAAGATCTTTATTGTGTTGTTTATTGTGTAAAGCCAGATAGCTGTAACAAAGTTGCAGACCTATAAACATCGTTTATATTTCCTATTACCGGGTAACTGAAGGCTAGTTGGAACAAGGGTAGGGGATGTTTATTGGAATAAAGTTATACATTTTGTTATTATCCGATACTTTTGCCCTATCGAAATGTTTACTTACAACTGAGTGAAGCAACACTGTTTGTGTATTACAAAATATAATCAATTTCTACAGAATATTGAATTTCAGAGATAATCACATTAAATGTTGTTTTATGTCTGTTGATAGTAACAGTATCCGATTCAGCAGTTGAATTGTACGACAATGTGTTGATTTGAAATTTGCAGGAATTTTTATTGATTTAGTTTTTTATGTATCAGCTGAGCATGAGTCGAGGTTCTTCCACTATTGGTCTTTGAAATTTAGTATTGAATGTTAAAAGCAAACAGAATGTTGTTAAAAGTAGTTTAATATTCACTGCAACTGTTTCTTTATAAATGGGAGTTGAATTTAGTTAACATATGGAAAATATGTATTATTGGAAATATTGAAATTGATCGTTCTTACCTTACTTTGGAATGTACATTTACATTTGGGGGGTGGGGGGAGGGGGAATATTGATAATTAACAATTTCTTTATTTTAAGAAGTGTTTCTGATTACTGATATTTACCAGTTTTTCCAAATAATAGCGAGGAAGGTTGTCCTAGATCTTCAATGTAAGGATACCAAAACAACCACCAGCAACCTGGGGGTGGGGCGTGTTAAAATAGGATGGCAAGGGCTGGGATTAAGCAAAACAACCATCAATAACCTGGATGTCTGGGTGTAGGGGGGGAAGGGAGTGTTAAAATAGGGTGGCAAGGGATGAGATTAACCAAAACAACCACCAATAACCTGGGTGTAGGGGGGGGGGGTGTTAAAATAGGGTGACAAGGGATGAGATTAACCAAAACAACTACCAATAACCTGGATGTCTGGGTGTAGGTGGGGGGAAGGGGGTGTTAAAATAGAATGGCAAGGGATGGGATTATGATAGGATTGTAAGTCCAGGGATCCTCACATAACCCTCTGATTCAATATAAAGGGGTGAGCTTTTTACCAGACAATGGCTGAGGTGGATAAATACAGGGTATTAACAGTTTGAAGTCAGACTGAGAATAAAAACACTTCCATGATACTCCCACCATTTTCTATGAGAATGACATTAAAGAGGTTTGGCAGTATAAGGAGGGAGAAATATAAAGAAAACATCACAAGTTGACAGATAGATATCCTTGTTTATACTGTATACATGGTAAATAAAATATTGAAGTCTAGGAAAGGTCTAGCTGTATATAATCTATACTCCAGGTAACAATTCTTAGAGTGACACTGGGTAGTGTTGTAGGCCAGACTGCTGACGAACCATTACTGGTGTTTATGTAGGCACCTAAGTTGGGACTGATATCCCCCACTGACTGTCACTTACTTTCAGCCTACCTGTCTAGGGCTTGACCTTTGACAGCCCTTCAGACAGGTAACACCTTACTTAAGATGTTTGTGAGGTAAAATCCAGGTGTAAATTGTAGGGTCTTTAGAGAAATAGATGGACCATGATACAACCCCGAAATGTTACTTAAACTGAATAAGCTGAATCAGGCCAATCATGTATAATATGTTATACTGAGTCCAGGCTTTTAGACTGATAAAAGTAAGGAAAGAAGTACAATCTTCTAGTAGAATGAATCGCTCAAATTTTGTTTTGTTACAACATTGATCCATTACCTTATTTCAGCAGTGACAGGATTTCCTTATATGGTGGTCAAGGTTCAAATGGTGATTGTTTATTTTTCAATAACAACAGAAGTCAAAGACCTTGTTGAGATCGGCTTTGAAGGGATTGCTG